TGTGTGTGTGTGTGTGTGTGTGTGTATGTATGCATGTATGTATGTATATATATATATATGTGTGTGTGTGTGTGTGTATATATATATATATCATTTGATACGGGACTGTCAGTAGTTCTGGCCTGGTGCTATGGGTATTTAAGGAATGTTCGAGCATCTTCCATTGCTGTAGTAGTCTGATCAGTTTGTCATTTCTTTTGAGATGGTCCAGCTATAGTGTACCGTCCCTACATATATATGTGCTCTGTGTGTAGTATCTCTCCGTTGTCACATGTTTCTACCAGTTTGCACACGGCTAAGCACCATTGTTTCAGTCTCAGTAATACTCTACCCCTGCCTGCCTCCTGATCCTCTGTGTGTGTGTGTGTGTGTGTGTGTGTGTGTGTATTTGGTCACCTCAGCAAATCGAACGCTCGACTCTGGTCATCCGGTCTGGCGACGATCCATTCTTAGCACCAGAAGACGTGGAGTGCCCTCATCTGCGGACGAATCCAAACATCACAGCGCTGCTGACAAGTATGTGTTTGTTGTGTGCGTGTGTGTTATTGATGTGTATTGGTGGTGTGTGTGTGGTTGTGTGTTTGGAATTATGTGCGTGTGCGTGTGCGTGTGCGTGTGCGTGTGCGCATGCTTACTTGATGTGCTTCTTGTTCAGAACACTTTGTACCGGATCCGCAGTTTAAGATGCTGCGCCATCGCGAGAGCTCTGTGTGTACCTAGTTCGCTAATACCTGCATGCAACCATCCTCCGAGGGACAGGTCAAGGGGGGCATGTAGGGTTTATCGAGCGCCGGGGTGTGCAGCTGCTGCCATGGGCTGAGCGTGTAGCAGCGGACTGGTGTGCGGCTATCTTTGGCATCGCTGATGAGAAGAGCCCTGGGGAAATGGAGTTATAGACGGATGTGTATGGGTGTATGTAGGACATATCAATAGATCATTAGATAAACCAATAAAAATCTAGCACAATTGGTAATGAAGTAGTATGTAGTCGGACATATATGTGTGCATGACACATCAATAGATCATTAGATAAGCCAATAAAATGCTAGCACCATTTGCAACGAATTCATAATCGGACAAATATATAATATATATAGTGTTAGTTCAGCGAATATGTTCTGACACATATTGGTACACGGTGAATGGGGATTATAGTAGGACATACCTGTGGTGCACCTAGATAGTCAAGCAGTCGAATAAAACTATCACATATTGTGAATGGGAATTATAATCTGATATATATGTTTTATATATAGATTATAACTTAAGTAAAATAGAAATATAGCCGGGATGTATGTGTACTTTAAGTTTTACATTATATTCCGCGGATAACCCACGTACTGTTAAATGCGTCGACAGTCGGACGTATATACATTGCACTAGCGCAATAACATACGCGAGCAAACATCCAGCACATACAGTATGAGCCATGGAGTCCGGTGACGGTCCCAGAATGAATGCATTCACTACTAAAATTTTAATATCAACGACTTTCAACGACTTACAGAGAAGTAAAGGCAAGCTTAAGGTTAGTCTGATCAGCCATATGTTGAATTTTCACTTCTATACTTATTCTCTCTAGAGGGTCGTGATAAAGGTACGACTGTCAGAGAAGTAAAGGAACTCGAATTAACTAGAATCTATATCAATGGCTTTTGGAGACGGAACGTGTGTAGATATCTTGACAGCGTTAAACGTGCGTAGTGGTCCCGTGTATCGCAATGCACACCAAATTGCAACACTTCACCGAAAAGTAGTGCAGAAGGTAACATATGATCAAGTATCATGATATCCTATTTTGACTACAGGTCACAGGTTCAGGAGATTCCTTCATAGAGAAGGAATAGTACCTTACCCTCGTCCGACTACAGAGTCCGTTGAGCTCAGGAGATTACTTTGCTAATCTACTTTACTAATGAATAGTACCTTGGCACATTCTGACTGATAAAGACTCTTGAGTTCTTAGGGTTACTTTACTAAAAGAGTGTCACATCATACTTTGCCAACAGCGACTTCTTTGAATTCACATGACTTTAACAACCAATACTATACTCTAGCCTGACTACAGAATCTCTAAGTCCACATGCCGCACTTCAGGGGTCGCCCTTCTTGGCATGACTTTACTAAAACAGTGTCATACCTACCACACTCAACCCACGGCGTCTGTTTTACATTCATATTGCTCTAATTTAATGACTAATACTCAACTGTAGCCACACTACAGAATCTCTAGGTCCACATGCCGCACTTCAGGGGTCGCCCTTCTTGGCATGACTTTACTAAACAGTGCCATACCACACTCAACCCACGGCGTCTGCTTTACATTCAGATTGCTTTAATTTAATGACTAATACTCAACTGTAGCCACACTACAGAATCTCTAGGTCCACATGCCGCACTTCAGGAGCCGCCTGCTGAATGCGCATCTCGATCCTATCCACTTCCTCCCCTAGTATGTTCAACACACCAGAGCCGTGCTTGAGAAGGAACTTCTCGGCCTCCTTGCTATCCTTGATATTCTTCATCTCGTGCGTGAGTTTCTCCAGATCGAAGTTGTTCAGGTATTTCTGAGGGGACGTAACGGGGGCAGTACAGGCTGAGTTCATGATAAAGGACCGAACTGCTCGCTGGCTACCTGCAGGAGAGCGCTTGGATGGGGAGGCTGTGTTTTACTATATATACGTCTACCTTCGTCCCGGATCACAGATGTATATTAATATATATACAAATTTTATAGTCAATTGCCATCCCAAACAGCATACTACCACTGCACAGCATATACTTATGTGGTTCCATACTTATTACATATTGCCGATCCGCGCGTCTCCGCGCATGCCAACTTCGACATTAGATATCTCATTCTCAGTTCAAAAAAGGTACCGCACAGTACAAAACTACACTCAGACCTCATGCACAGTGTATAGGGGTGGGTGCTATAGGGGTGGGTGTCACATGTACTATAGTATCGCGTGACCCCACCGCTTGCAGCGCTACCTGCAGCCAGCGTCGCAGAAAAACCCCACCCACAAACACAAGCAAGTTCTCGAGATACCATACGTCTACTGACAGCTAGTATGGATGGCACACTGTGTAAATGACGACTAACCCAAGCCGTCCGCGATATTCTCTTTGCTCGCCTATAGTCTGCACATAAGCCACAGATTAGACATACAGCACGCTTAGGGTAGATCAGTCAGAACAGTAGTTGTACCGTGTGCACAGGTGGTGCTAACATCAAAGCCTGCTGAAGTAACCTACCTTGGTGATGATGGTCCCGTTGAAGTCTATCTCCGCCTGGATAAGACAAGGTGCACCGTGCATGAGAATACAAAATGGGGAAGACTCAGTGCTGGTGATGGCATAGGGATACTACACCTGCCACGCAGCAGACCCCCTGACCCCTGATTTGAACTACGTAATACCTCCAATACAACACAAAAACCACGATCTTAAAACTCTAACTCTAAACCCCTACGTAGTTCTTCCAATATAACACAGAAACCACGATCCTAAACTCCTAAAATCCTGTGCAATATTTTAAACATAACACAGAAACCACAACCTCCATATGATGGGAATGCACATATGCGGCCTTGTGGTGGCTGCACACCTTGCTCTGAGGTGCGTTGTGGGCGCACAGCGTTAGATTGCTTTACAAAGTCAACAGTACTCGTGATTATTTAAATACTCAGATATGAGCATGGACAAAATATATAACGAATTTTGATAT